AAAAATCAAACAATTGCATTTTGTAGTTTAAACACTGATTCGGTTGGACTATTCCAATGCATAAATTTCTTTAGATTTAAGAAAATTTATTAAATCTAAAGAAACATTTCTCTCTATAATTCACAGAAAAATTTCGATAAATTGGAGAAAAAAAAACATTAAAATACGTCGATTTTTTCGAAAAATGATTGAGATCCTCTAGATCCCATCAGTGTGGCTTATACATATGCAAAAATTAAGTGTGGCCTGCGAGAGTTAAAATTATTAAATCTTAATTTGCATTTATATGTTCCTTTCTTATATATTTCCCTATCCGTTTGGTATAATTCTCGTCTATCCAGAATTAATAATTAACGTTTATGCGGTTTGTATTTTCAGGTAATATCGTAATGCAAACTCCTTGAACGGCTGCAAGCAGTTTGCGTTCTGTCGCAGTTTATGTTCTCCAATTTCTCGTCGCAGAGGCGCTCGACCTCCGACAGCTTCTGCCTGTAGGCGTCGACAAGAATACATTTGTACGAGTTGTAACGTTGCGCGGCTTGCTCAACAGAGTGCCGTTCAAGGAGATTGATATTACGTCGGAACGAAGAATCAGGGAACTCGCGATACTCGAGTATGAGAAGAATCTCGCCAAGTATCATGACCAACACTCCGTTGAGCAACGCGCGCACGCACGCACGCACACATCTCACCGAGATCGGTACGTAATAAAAAAATTTTACATATCGGGCAGGATTATACACTTTACGTTCATTCTGTACTTAAGGACATTCTGTAATCAAACAATGCAATTCATCCGACGTGCTGACCCGAAAAATGGCAGGGTAATCAAAGGGGTATAATGTTACGAACATACGTTGCAAATTTCTTTTTTAATGCTTATATACAGCACCTCAGGCTGCATCTTATTGTATTATATAGGACATATGATTGAGATTTCAACGACTTAATCTCTCCTCTGGTATTGCTTTGCCAATTTTTTCTAAAGCACAAACGGTCGACTTTAAAAATTGCATAAAGTGTTACCAATTCGTCGTTGAAATTCGCTGAAAATGTATTATTAATATACAAACGGAAGGTTAATCCTTAAGT